AGATAATTACAGGTTAATAGTTTGCGTTGATATATCGGCAAGCACGTCTAAATTCGATGACATCCAGAAAGAAAAAGGGAAGATGAACAATTTTAGTGATGCCAGATTGAGTTTTATTTTACAACTCGGAAATTAGCGCAGGGTTGCACTAATTCGCGAAAGTGAAATTATTGCCACAAAGTTTGCGGAAATACAAATGCCGCCACACATATATAGCTTTCGTAAATAAGATACACGTATTTTATTATAGGTGTGGACGGATCTTCAGAGTAAAACCAGAAAAAAAGCTTCGCAAAATAAAATAGAGCTTCGTGCAACTGGTGGGGGTCCAAACAGCTTGCATACATTTTCTGCGATGGAAGAAGCAATCATCAGCCTCCTTAATATGGATGTCTGCACTGATCCACTGTATAGGGAAGAGCTTAAAAATAAGGGGAAAAATAAAGCAGATAAGCTAAGATTAAAAGCTCAGATATTGGAGTTGGAAAATGAAAGAATTTCCAACATATTGAAGTAGTTTAAGGATAGTTTTAATTTTTATTTATTTATTTTTAGACTGGATATACCTGAAGTAATATTTTAAGTTAGTTATAAATAAATACATGAAGTGATATTTTAAGTTAGTTATGAATAAATACCTGAAGTGATATTTTGTGTTATGTATAGCATATATGTACATTTTTATGAATAACATGCATTTTTATTTTTTTATTTTTTTTTTCTTGGTATTAATTAATGAATTTAGATATAAGGTTAAAAAGTACTGAACATGAATTAAAAAAGGCTGAATATGTGATTTATAACCGAACTGAACTTAACTGAATAAATTAATAAAAAGCCATAACGTTAGAATTGCATGTGTTGTAAAATGTTATTTCTAATTGCCCTCGCTTCCTCACTGGCCACAGAGAGATTTTCAAAAGCTGTGTTGTCTTGAGCTCGGTCGTCCGAGTCTCGGTCGCTTAGCATTTCTTCATCGGGAAATTGAGCATTGTAGAAAATACAAATGTTATGAAGCGCTGCGCAGACGTTTATTATTTGTGTAGCTCTTTTGGGTTCATAGTAAAGCGCTCGAGCGCCTAACAAGCACCTAAAACGATTTTTGAGCACCCCAATAGTACGTTCCACAATATTCCGTCCTTGAGAATGTTTACCGTTGAACATACATTCTGCTGATCCGGGCTCTGGGTTTCGGTATGGCGTAAGCATATAGGGTTGTAAGGCATACCCTCCATCACCTAAAATTGGAAATAGCTATGACACAACCATTCGAATGTCTACATAAATTAGCCATAGCATACCTAATAACATATTTCGCTCGCCACTACGATACTCTTCTTCTAATTGTTGCTTCAACGCAGACATATTAAAAACATTAGCATCATGCGTAGCTCCAGGGTACTTCGCGTTGATATAGCGGATTCGCATGGCGTTGTCGCAAACCTATAAATGAAGAAAGATTATAAACTCCATTGTTGCATTTCCTTTATAAATACTCACTATCATTGCATTCAAGCTGAAAAATCCCTTCCGATTGTAATACAAATGCTGATGCTCCTTTTTTGGGGAAACAATTTTGATGTGCGTACCGTCTATGCAGCCTATTACTCCGGGTATTCCGCTCCTCTCAAAGAAATAACACTTTGCTTCTCGTTTTTCCTCTTTACTGTATTGCATTTTTATCCAATCTCTGCAGACGCATTCCTCCAAAGCATTGAATACTTCCGCCAAAATTATGGACACCGTAGATTGGCCAAGCCCAATACAACTTTCGTTCCCGACACTTAGCTGATACGACCCCTGAGCACAGAACCTCAAAGTCGCTGCCAACTTTAAAATATTTGGAACTGATGTTTTTCTAACGCCAGCTTGCAGTTTGCTATCTAATAGTGTGAGCAAATGCGTAAATGCAGCCTTCGGAAGACGAAAATTTTTCAAAAATCTTAAAAAAATATAGATTGATTACGTTTGTATCAACTACGCACCGTTGAAACCGTATACATACATATTTTCCTCCAATTCCAGAGGATTAGACGAATCCCTCAACATCCTCCTCGTTCTTGCTAACTCTACTAATCTTTCACTTTCCTCGTCATCACTATCACTGAACCACACGTCGACACTATCCATTAGTGGTATTTTCTTTTTTAAATTGTTAAATTGAAAAGTTTTGGACAATTGTATTTTATTTTATTTGCCAAATATATCAAAAATGTAAACAAACACCGAAACAGCTGATTGCAATTCAGTAAGCCATTCACAATTGTACAATTGTTTATCGATTCAGTTCCGCAATACCAAAATAAAATATGATCGACTCAATAGAAAAATGTCTATTCTACTGCTAATCGACACTCGCAATAGGGGTGTGTGTCTGAATTACAGATCAAAAATTATAAGCAACAAAAGGCAACTTGCGCGGTTGTTCGTACTGATGCAGGAGAGTGAAGACATAGGCAAAGGAATTTCCGGAAAGAGTAGGGTAGGAAGCTCCGCTTCTATTGGAAAAGATACATATACAATATTTCTTGTGCATATAACTCCGGCTACGCCATCCACAGTGTTTTTGCGCAGAGCCAACATCAAAAGTTTATACAAAAAAACTGCATAATTTATTAATTGACTAGTGCTCGGAAATTTGAAATCTTTATTTTAAATTAAAGTTGAATTCTTTCAATACACTTGTTATGTTGTTATGTTAAAGTTTTTAAACTCGGGTCACGCGTTTGGACACAAAAACCCAACATCATTGTACAAAAAACTTAACCGTACCGTATTTCTTAAACTTCCATAAAGTTTATTAATGAGGAAAACAGCTTTTCCTGCAAATCATGTAAAGCCTAAAAACTGTGAAGCATCGGGAACGCAACTTCTATTCATAAAACTCACACATGTACATACACCTTCCAAGTCCAAGGGATCCGACGAATCTCGCAATTCCCTCCTTGCTTTAGCTAACTCTACTAATCTATTAGCTTCGGCATCATCTTCTTCATCACTAAACCATATTTCAATTGTGTCCATTTTTTTAATTTTATAATAAAAGCAATTATTTTAAAAATTATGTAAATAAAACACTCAAGAAACAAATGTAAACAATCAAACAGCTGTTTACAATTCTATCGACCATTCACAATAGTACAAATTTTTATCGATCAAGTTACACAATAGCAAAATAAAACATGATCGACTCGATCGACAAATTTCTATTCTACTGCCAGTCGACACTCGCAATAGGGGCCTTATATAAGACAATCGATTAACCCAGCTCTGTTATCTAATGCACAACATGCCTACAGTAAGGGCAGATCCACGGAGACTGCCCTCCACACGCTAGTCTCAAAAATTGAGCAATCACTAGAAGCAAAGGAATTTGCATTAGTCATGGCATCCCGTTTGCGATTACCTCGGCTCTGACGGACCTGCGGGTGGAGAAACCCCTGGTTAGGATCATCCACCAATTGCTCACCAGCAGGGTGGTTAGCTCCGAATTGGGGGGCAGACGACTCGTAGGTCTGTTAGTAGGGGCACTCCACAGGGGGGTGTTCTCTCCCCACTCCTATGGGTAGTGACGGTGAACCAACTGCTCCTGCGCATGGAGGCGGATGGATATGGGGTAGTCGCATACGCCGATTATGTAGCGGTTATCGTACAGGGAAAATTTCCTCAAACTCTATGTGATCTTATAGAAGCTGCTCTTGGCTCACTCGTTACTTGGACCAAAAACATCGGTCTTGAGGTGAACACAGCTAAAACAGAACTAGTCCTCTTTACCAGGCGATACAAAGTACCGGCTCTTATACCACCCAAACTCGATGGCTCACGCCTGGAATTAAAACGCACTGCCAGGTATCTTGGAGTAGTTCTTGACAGCAAACTGCTCTGGAATGACAACACAATGGAACGCATCAAGAAAGCCACCACAGCACTTTTCACATGTAAAAAGGCGATCGGGGTATCGTGGGGCTTCGTACCTAAGATAGTTCACTGGATCTACACTTCCATTGTTCGCCCGATTCTGCTTTAAGGAGCCCTAGTATAGTGGCCTACCCTCGAATAAGACAACAGCGCTCAGGCAACTTCAAAAGGTACAAAGGAGTGCAGAGCTATGCATAAGTGGAGCTCTTTGTTCCTCCCCGACCGAAGCTCTTAACGCGGTCCTACATCTCCCCCGCTTGATCTGGTAGTTCGGGAAATAGCCACTATAGCAGCCTTAAGACTTAGAGAGGCAGGCTTCTGGACTTATAGTCCATCAGGCCATTCAACAATCCTAGGGACAAGGGCGCCCATATCGATACCTGCAAGTACTGACTACTGCATACCATCAAACACCTTCACCAAAAACTATATAATTACCATACCAACTCGAAAGGACTGGGACACCAGGCCTCACCATATACGCAACGCTATAAATATGTTCACTGATGACTCCAAACTCGACGGAAAGGTCGGGGGAGGAGTCTTCTCCCCGGAGCTGGAACTGGAAACATTTTTTCGCCTTCCACACCCTTGCAGTGTATACCAGGCGGAAGTGCTGGCCATCCAGATTGGGAGTGAGCGCGCCAGATTACTGTCACAGCTGCAGATGCGAAGAAGAGGAAGAGAGTGTACAGCACCTTATATGCGAGTGCCCGGCACTCAGCAGAAGACGGCTACAGACGTTCGGAAAGCCCTCTCTACAACTCCTTGCAGAGGTATCCGAAATCAATATAAGAGCACTATTGCCGCAACATTATAGGGGAACAAAGATTGCATATGATATCACAATGGGCCTTTAGTTGGCCTAAGTGTAAGGGGGATTCACTCTCCCTAGCCATCTAAACCTATAGACCTATTGACCTAAATAGATTTGGTATCGTTGAAATCAGCGTAAAAAGTTTTATCACTCGGCATTTTTGGTTATTTTATAGCTAAACGGTCGCTATTCTATACTTGTTGCAGAAAATTACGCAAGCGAAGGTGGTGCAAACGAATATTTAGTATGAAGAATTTTTGGTTTTACTACTAATAAAGGGCTGCCATGCGTCCCCGTTTCCAGAGACATGTCGCTGTTTCGGACTCTTTGTCCCCGTGTCCCTGTTTACAACTAAAATGTCCCCGTTTAATGCTTGGGACAACAATATATAATTTGCTTTTTTAAATTTTAAATGTAAAATTTTTCTGAAAATTAGGCGTCGAGGCAATTATAAAGACATCACACCATTTCACCTCAATCTTACTCAGTGAACACCCCTCTAACTTAACGAAACAGATCGTTTCCTGTAGGTCTTAATACAGTTATTTCCCGAGATAATTCCAGAGTAACGAGTTGATCCGGACCAACACTGGCGTTTTTCTAGGCTTGAATAAATACGAATGAAGATCCCTTAGGAACGTACTTTTTCGACTAAACCGCAGGAAGGTAAGCTACGGTAGAAAAAATAATATCATTTTCCACGAAAAGTGCGGTAAAATGGG